CAAGTATGCTCATAACAGGAGTATTCCCATGCCTCTTACCAGGCAAGACCCTGTGGCTTTAACTTTATTCTTTCAGTGTCATACAATTTATACATAATGGGTATAGAGAATATCATTGTTACTCATGTCAAGCTGTGAGGACCACAGAGGGTGTACAGTTTTAGGCAGCAGGCCCAGAAGCTGAACCTGATGAGGTCTTGCATAGCTTTTGCTGAACTGGTCCTATTAATGGACTGGATCAGTGTCACTGCAAATAGCAATGAAAACTGAAATTCCTCCTGTTCTACATCCCATGTTACATAAACAGCTGTCCGATGTATGAAGGAAAAAAACAGATGAATGCCTCAGTAATTCTGCCTATCATGCAAACCCTACGGACTTCAGATGCTTAGACAAGGGTCAAGAAATGCATTCTTGGCACAGCCTAAAAGTCTATACCCTGCCCTCTGTTTTCAATGACATCGGTGGGAATTTCTGCACTTGAGGATAACTCTCAACATTACTGAAGGCAATAGCTGCTCTCCTATTTATTTCTAAAGGAGTGATCTTTGGGTAAAACTAGATAGAACATTTTAGCCATCACAGCCAACATCTTGTCAATACACTTCAGCCTTCAGACATCTGTGTGAACTACAGATCAGGTAACCAAACAAATACTTCCATTCTATCATAGTCCTGAATCTTGGATTCACCCAGGAACCTTTCAGCCACAGATTCACTTTCGGCATCAGTACACCAATCAACAGCAAATTTGTATAAATCCTTTGGCAAGGTACTGCTTCACTGAGTGCTCTTCTCATCTAGGGTTAGCAGAAGTATTCATTATCAAAACTGATAATGTGTCAAACAGCTAGTTAGAAAAAATGCTTAAGATGATAGAAAATTAATGCAAAACTGCAGGTCAGAAGTGTTACCTCCAGAAAATTAAAAACACTTTTCTTGGCAAACAGACAGGATTATAATATTGTTCCTTTATGTCAATGTAAATGTTACCTCCTGTAGCCATCTTTGGATGTATATGTGTAATAAGTCATCATCCTCACATGATAATTTTAACTAAACCAGCTAACTTATCATTGCTCATTTGTTTTGCTTTGCAGACCTGTGCGGAGAAGGCTTGTTTCTGCCTCATGCCAGTACTTCTACTACCAGGAAAACTTCTGTTTTCCATAAGTTGCATAGGCTGTAACTAATTTGACAGAGGAACTGAACGTGGGGAAAGCCAACTCAATGTACCCATGCAGCTTCCACACAACTGGAAACCAGCGCTTTGGTGAAGGACCACTTCATAGTGACACAAACACATGTTGGAAAGAACCAACACTGCTCCTTCAAGGTGTCCCCTCAGAGCTAAACCAGAGCTGTGTGTCATTTTATTGCTACAGAACACACCAAGATCATAAAAATAGTGTGCAACCCTCCTTCAGCAGGAAGGCTGCTTACCTTGCATGGTCAGATGGGTCTCTTGGCCAATGTCTGCCTCTTCTTTCCCCATCCCTCACCTCCATGGTGTTAAATCAAGAGGATACCCAACACTTTCTTTCTCCTCCTAACACTCTCCAGGCAGCCCAGGCAGTCTTTCAGTGAAGGCAGTGCTGTCTATGGGCTCAGTATGGTTCCTGATGAAGATCCCAGCTCTTCCCATAGACCCAGCAGCCTAGTCCATTAAGATCATGTTTCAACCCTTAATGGACTATGTCTTTTAAGGAGAGAATCTGTTTCACTATCATGTGTCCAAATTCATGTGGGTTTGCCCCAAACTTGGTGAAAAAACACAGTCCAAAAGGACAGACTTTTTTCAGCCCTTTTAATTAAAATCCTGAGCCAGTTCTGGACACTAAAGCTCATTAACTCACTAGAGTTCACTAATACTTCACCTGAACTCTGGTGTCTGAAATGTGCCCCAGGAGAGGCAGCAGGCTGCTCTGGCTAGGGATCAGTCCATTCAGTGGGCAACACCCCAAGGATCCTTATCTCCTTCCCCCCATTCACTGACAAAAATCAGGAACAACTGAAAAATCAGTTCCACTAAGAAACACCTCCATTACTTTCTTTTTCTTGACAAGAACTGCACCTAAATATTAATCTAAAATCGTTGCTCAAATTATTTCAACTTTGCTTTAAAAATAATAAAGTTTCATAAATATTAAAGCTGTGTTTTAAAAGTATCAAATAGAGGCCAGTATTATAAATGTTGAGTAAAGCCGACAAGAAATGCAGACAAAATATTTGGAAAATCAAAGTATCAGCTTTTTTAAAACTTTTTTACCCTGAAACCAGACAAGAAGTAGGACTGTAGGGCACCGCAGTGGTATAAATGCTTGGGCCAAGATTATCATCAGCTTGAATGAGTGGATCCAGCATAGAAAATTTTACCTACTTGAGACTTGCCCAGCTTCCTGGGCCCAGCTTCAGCAAGTCATTTAAGCATGTGCCTGACCTTACATGCATTAAGGAGCTTGACTGCATGCAGGAGGCAGAGGGTCAATCTGTCAAGTTAGACAGCTCTGCGCTTTGAACAATGCCTGAAACTAATTGCAGGATTAATGTTGAACCAAATAAAATGGAAGCTCACAACAGAAAATTAGAAACCTCTTTCAGAAATTAGAGCCCACCTAATCTAGATTTAGCTAGGCATAAATATTTGCACTGCTCTTTGAATAGGCATTTGCTTCAGGATTAAATATTCATAGTTAACCAGCCATGCTTAGTCATTTTATTTTACTATTAAGCCACACTATGCAGTGTGGTAACTACAGTGAATGGTAGCACCAAGATTAAAGAAAAAATATTGTGGTGTTATTGCAGAGAAGCAGCAAACAACGTATTTTCATAAGTTTTCTGAACAAAGCAAATTCTCAGAGAAGACTGAAGTGTGATTTGCCTGCATAGAGTAATTTTAGATTATTATTTACTTGGAGTTATTTTAAAATGCTGATAATAAGGCAGCAGGAGAGGTAGGAAGGGGGAGTTACTAAAAATAATGATCAAAGAGGTACGTGAGGAGGATGCATGTGTGTGTGCATACCTGTGTGCATACACAGGTATGTGCATGTGTATGAATGCTAAATATCCATGAGAATTAATCTAAAATATTAGATTTTAGGAGGGGAAGGGATATGTATACACAGCAAGCTGCAGTCAGGATTATTACCTTTGGATTTGGGAAGCCAAAAAAGTAAAACAAACATGCATCAGTCTAGTTTGGGTGGCAGCCTGAAATGAGGTATATTATATGGGTGCCCTACCAGAGAAACCAAGGCGAGCCTGGAGAACAGCATTGCTTTGTTCACACAACACATGAATGGAACATGAGGGATAGTTTATGTGGGAGCACTGAGCTCCCATTGATTAATTAAGAACTAATCTTCCTCGTTTTAAAAAGAACACACACAGGTTCTCCTTTGCAAGTTGGCTATTTGTGGATTATTTTGCCATTCCCTGAATTAATAGGCAGCTGCATAATTCTGGAGACAGGGACAAAACAAGTTATCAACCTTAGCAGCCTGGATTTTGGTGCGGTTCCAGCCCGCTTTCAGATTCCTTAACTGGCTCTGGTAGATCCAGAGCAATAAAATCCCAGTGTCTGAGGCCCTTCAGCATGGAGGGGGGAGGGGGGGTGGTGTATGCATGGCACTGACTATTTGCCATTCACAGTAAATTCTTGACAAGCCTCTGGCCACTGTCTCAATGATGAGGCCAAACCAAAACCCAGTACCCAAGCTGTTCACAGCCTGTGGCAGCATTCTGTCACATTGCTCTTAACTCGGGAGAAGTACAGCTCTGAATCTAGATATCTAGATTAGAAATAGCTGCCTTCCTGTTTTAAAGCTATTTAAGGAATTTCTAACATACTTGAAGTCTGTATGTGTAAATATAAGAGGAAAAAAAGAAAAAAAGAAAAAAAAAAAAAAGGACAATTAGTGCAGTTTTTAAGGAAACATCAGACCTGCAGTAATTTGTAGTTGGATCTAATATACCTTATCCTGATCCAGAAGAAGGTCAGTGTTCCTCTTAGAAATGAGATTGCACCCTAAGTAACCTCTTGTCCAACCACAACACCTCTGATAGTCCCAGGCCAAATGTAACCTACAACAATCTTTTGAAGCTTACTAGGCAAATGGAGACCTTTCTCCTCTTTCTATAGTATAGTCATTCTGAATAAGAAATAAGGATTAGTTCATCTACCAAGTCAGCCATCCCTCCTGCCACTCTGCAAAACCTTGCATAACTGAACTTTTCTTACAGGATTCAGGAACACTGAATGCCTCGTTGCCTACATTTGGGTTCCCCTGCAGTCCACTGATCTCAGCACTCTGAAACTGGTGATGATTTATACCACAAAGCAAACACCCTCTGTAAATAAGAGATGGCACATAAAGACCAGAAACTGAAAAATCAATCCGGTGTTCAGTTTAACGGGCAGAAAATGTTCAAGTCCTTTGAGAGAAAAGTTCTGTTTACCTGAAGAATCAACCAGTTCAGATGGAAAATCAGAGGAAAATGAGAGGGACATACACTTAATGCTGCAAAGTGCTTCACTGTTTGCAGCCACAGCGCTCCCTGATCAGGCTCTTTGCAGCAAGTTTCCAGGGCCACCAGCTTTCTACTTGTCTGTCTCCTCAAGCCATAGTGTATAACCATGGGTCTGGTGGGACTTCTGAAACAAGAAACAAGCTGGCATCTTGGAAAATATCAGTCAGAAGGAAAAACATACTTGAGAGTCCTTACTCAAATAAATACCCCACCATATCCACAGCAGCCATGGGCAAGGACCCTCCACTGATAGTCCTTTTCACCATCAGCCAGCAATGGGAGCAGGTGTGGACAAACTTTCTCTGTTTCTCACTTTGCTTTTCCCTTCCCTTCTTCTGCCTTTTGTGACACCCTCTAGGATGTTTTTGTTGACATTAGTGTGATACTTGAGGTTAATTCGAGTTAGCCGTGTATGCATGACGAGATGGCACATGGAGCTTGAGCCCGGTGCAGGGGTTACTCACCTTCCACCACCACTGTTGCAGGTTTAGAATAGGCTGTGCCCAGGCTGTTCTTGGCTACACAACGATACTGTCCTGCATCTTCTCTCTGAACATTGTGGATCCTTAAATTCCCTGAATCGAGGACAGCAATGCGAGCATTCTCCTGCCAGAGGAAGGAGAAGTCGAGGTGAGGGCTCCACATGCAGGCTGCACACAAGCAGCACCCAATATCTCCTTGCAAGGATTGGGCTTACAAGCATGAAAATTACTTGTGTTGTCCTACAGCTGAAGGATTTGAGGCCAGCTCTTCCTGCTCAGCATTGTCATGACACACTCACCCATCCCTCTTTTTGGACATCAGCGAATTATAGGTTCAAAAGAGCCTTGAATCTTAGCTAAGCACCTCAGTAGTTCTTATTTATGAGAACACTCACAAGTGCAGTCAACAGCATTTGGCCACTCTTAGTAGTAATAAATATATATAATATAAAATATAGGTACACAGAGAATGTTTGGTTTACAGGCAGAATTATTGCAGATGCAGACATCTATGAGATGAACCCTGTATTTTCCAAATGCTTGCTTCCTAGCAACTAGAATTTACAAATGCTGTAGTTGTTGCTGATATTTTAACACAGTACCTTCAGTAAATAGCTAGCATTACTTAAATTTTGTTCTCAACTCACCTTTACAACTGTTTCTCCTTTGATCCATGAAACAGAAGGTTTTGGATTCCCCATTGTAGTGCATGGAAGAACAGCCTTTAACCCTTCTATTATTTCCACATTTATAGGTGGTCGGGTTATTTTGGGTCCTAAAATTTGAAAAGTCAAAAATTAAAGTTGAACTGAAGCTAAGAGATACCAGAACAGGACAAGTTCAGAAATGACAACAAAATTTCTGCTGCTTTTTCTGTACATTGCTGAAAGAAAGCTTTCTTAAGCACAGCATTCACAGTTTCAGTGTATGGATGCAAAAGCAGCTAACTTGTATGGGTTATTTGTTTTCAGAAGTGGACTTTGACAGTCGTTTGAATTAGGGCCTGGGCTAAAATCCAAATCCAGATAAGAGTACTTCCAATATTGAGGAATGTTTGCATTCCAGGTTTTGACATTCTTCACTGCATAAACAGTGTCTTGTGTGAAAGCTCAGATCTGGAGTGAATTGGTTTTGAAATAGTTTTAACCCAGGCTTGTCTCTAGCTCAACAAGAGGGGCATGTAAATTCAATTAATGTCCCTAGTTGAAGGATTTATAACTATGTTAGTAAAAAGGGTAAAAAATCCTTAAAGAAACAAAAAATCAAACTCCCTTGAAGTTAATATTGGACAAATTTAAATTAATTTTAGCCAAATAAAAATATGGCTTAGCTTACTCTGAGCTGGCAGTAAAAAAGATCTTCATCTCAGTGTTTTGGGAGATCTAAAGTTTTGCCTCCCCTGCACAATAGTGAACAAGCAGAAAAGCAACCTTTAGAGAGCACCACATCATGGCCCCTACCTGCAGGCGACTGGGATACTGGAGAGCCCCAGAATTTCCACACCTGGAGGGTCATGCTCATTAGCACAAACAAATCCATTCCTACAGATGCTTTAGCCAGGATATATATCAGCTGCCCCTTTAAGTGTTTGTGTAAATAACTGCAGCCAGAGTTCGAAGCGTTCAGCTTTACCGAGCCCAGCACGTATATAGCCCTTTGCAAGAACCAGTGCTCTGCCTTCTATGTGGGATGATGGGATTTACACTGTGGTGCTCCAGACCTTTCAAGACTACTTTTAAGAACATCTGAACAGCATTTACTTGCTTTTGCCATCCTCAGGCATAAATCTGATTAGTGAAATCTTATGTTTAAAATTCACAAGGGATTTATACAGTATTGCTATGGCAGACTAATCTATCAAATTGTGCTGCTTTTATGAAGTTTTGTACAAAGGGCATTCTTCAAAGCACCATTTTTTATCCTCTGCTATGCAGACAGTTCCTCTGATCCTAGCACAAGTGTGTGTTATTCAAAGTGAATAAGCACAACTGCTTTTAGTTAAGATATGATCCGATACGCCATGTCTTTGTCTCAAGTGATTGCACCCAGCCCCCCCAGGAACACAGGTCTGCCCTGAACACAGACCCCCAGGGGCCATACCCGTGGGCCTGCTCAGGCTCTCAATTACACACTTACATGGTGTCAGGAAGAAATTACATTCCCACTTACGCATTTTCACTTGGAGAGCCCCACAGCTCTGTGCAGCTGCTCCAATCCCATTATCCGCCGTGCAGCAGTACACCCCATCATCACTGTCCTCCACGCTCAAAATGGTCAGGAGCTGCCCGTTCCTCTGTATGCTGTACCGGGTGTCAAACAGCCTGCAGGGCACAGCACAGCTTGTCAGGGTCGGGGGACAGCCAGCAACGGAGAGGGAGAATTGCATTTGTACCTGCAGACCACTATCAGCACTATAAATGACAATATGCTTTACTTTTTATTTTCAACATGAAAACACAAGGAAAGGCACTGGAAATGTTGCGTTTAGACTTAAGATTCAGTTTGGTCCTCACTAGACCACGCAGTTCCTGACCACCACCAGTGTGGTGGCAATTCTTCCTCCAGTAAGGTATTGGTCAAGTAAGTAGGTACCATAGTTGGGTTTCTGCCTGGCCAAGGACAGGCATAAGCACAAGTAATCTCATCCAGTTGGGTCCTGTTTTAGGTATAATCACTCAGTGCAAGGGAAGGACTGCCTAGATAGGAACTGGAACTGACTGAAGTTTTTTAGAGTAACTTTCTTCAGATTAAAAAAAAAAAAAAAAAAAAAACAAACAAAAATCTGTTTTTTTTTCACTAAACAGATAATGTTATGGAAAGATTTTTACTATTGTGAAAAAAAGATACAAACTAAAATCCAAGTATTTTTGTGTCTGTATTCAGGACTGATTTTATCTATTTCTTGGAAAAAAAATAAAGAATAAAAATAAAAAAAAACCAACAACAACAAAAAAAAAAACCCACAACAGCAAATAAGCAAAGAAATGTGCTGAAGAAAACAAGCCATCTAAAGATTAGAGGATGCAAGGAGAGCTATAGTTTAATGACAGCAGACTTTAACCTGGAGACTTCAGAGAAGTCAAGAATAGCTCTTAAGTTGGAGCAACAAAGGTACAGGATATTGTAGCAAAGTCTGTGGAGCAAAGACCAATTCTGCATGTGAGCATGCGATGTGCATGTGTGTGTGTGTATGTGCCTGTGTGCATGTGTACATGTGTGAGAGCAAGGGAGAAACAGAAAGAAAGGTGGTAAGAAAGTGGAGGTCTGATATCTGATTTTCATTGTAAAACTGAAAAAGTATAGTAAAACTTCAGTGGAACAAGATTTGCATAACATTTCATAAATTCCTCTATGCTTGATTTTCACACCTTCACTGATGCTTTCTGGAAGCACTTACATGCAGTTGTCCTTCAATTCTGAAGAATGGTAGCAAAAGGGATCTGACCTGAGGATTGTCTCCCAAACTACCACAAATACCTCTCACCTAAGGTTGTAGTTTTTTGTCCTTTACTGTTAAAAATGATACAACAGACACCAAATAGTCTCAGTGTGCCATTTATGGTATTTCAGGCACATACTTCCCTTCAACAGCCTTTCATCTTTCAGTCTTGTATCTCCCTCCTCTTTTCACCCTGGGAAGAAAGAGTACAAATAACTTATCCATTGTGTAAGAGACGTGTAGGCTCCATTCCCTTATTTCCCTGAGGAAGAGTCACCCCAGGCAGCCTTATGCTGGGAGATGGGGCAGGTAACCATTTCACTTGGCACAGGGCACCTGCCAGTCTACTTGTACAAGTTTTGATATCCAAAGGAAAGGTGCTTCCAGAAAACTAGTGCTGACAACAGCATCTGCCTTGGTGCTATCCCCATTGAATTTTTACATACTCTTTTGTTTTGAAGGTTAACTTAGTTGACGGTTCAGGGTGCTGGGAACTTGTCAGGAGAAGAAAATTTTGTAAATAAAATAACTGATATGTATTGCTGCCAATAACAAGCCCCTTTGGAGTTTCATACATACACACACAAATTTTTTTTTTTTTTTTTCAGAAAAAAAGTCCACTGATATGATTCTTTTTCATTGTGTAAATACTTTCATCTATGTTCTTGGAAAGTAACAGAAATATTTTCAGCTTATCTATTTCCCTGTCTTTGGTTTGAGCTTTTGTATCCAGCAGCACTATTAATGCCAACATAGCGTTGGGAAAGTGGAAGAGCTGTTGCTATAATGTTGGTCCAGAAGCTCCAGTAAATTAACAAACCACCTGAGCTCTCTGGCCTCTCCAGAAAAGCTTTTCTGATTGGTATTTTCCTTGTTGTTCAATGTTGTGGAAAATGAACTATGTCTCGGGGTGGGGTGGGGTTTTAGAAAGGTGGGGAAGTAGGGATTGGGGTCAGAAATTATCTGGTTTTCAACTGACTGCATAACATAGAGTGAAATTTTAAAGACCGTGGGGAGAGAAAGGCATGTATTCTCCATGGTCCTGTATGAATGGCTTCCTCGACCAGCTTTGATTTTGAGTCATGGTGTCACTGATGTGGAAGAAATTAGGAGAAAGGTGACTTGATCTGGAAATATCAACCATGAAAATTCAGACCTCCTTCCTGCAACAAGTCTGGGGTCAGAGGGCTAGGATAAGGGTTTTGATGAGGTTCTGTTGCAGTCAATGTAAAAGAAAATTCTGAAGGCCAGTATGAGTATTCTAGCAGTAAGATTTCCTTCTGCTTTTGGCTTATTTGGAGTCTCCCAAGCCAGTGGTTCAAGGGCTCTTTGGATGCTTGACTCTGATAGCAGGAACCATGCTCCAGGTGACCATCTGCCTAACATGGACATCCCTTGTGGAGAATGGTCCTTAACTGTGTTACACATAGATTGTTCTGTAATTTTCCCTTATAGAGGGAGTCACTAAGAGCAATCTAGAATGAGAAACTGATGTGAAGCCATGTGGAAGACATAACGTGATTTCAGAGTTGGAAGATCAGGTACAGTTTACTTTGCAAGAGTCTGTCTACAGCAACTGAGTTAAAGCAATGGTAGCAGCTTCCATAACATGCTTCCAAGGCAGCCTTCTTTGGTGGCACCATGATACCTGGTGGTTAATGTCTGACAGCATATGACAACAAGAAGTCAGTTTCCTATGGTCAGATCCAGAACTAGAAACAAAAAAAAATGGTATGGTATGATCCCTTCCATGCAAAGTTTCCAAGCACATTGCAGACACCAGGGCAGCAAGTCTGGCAATGCTCCTTTTAAATACTACACAGTATCCTCCTCCTTTGTAAATGCATAAACTGAGACACAGAGCAGGATGCACTGTCTGAAGCTGGAGACCAAACTCCTTGCATTGCTCATAGCAGAAACCAACTGCCTCCAAAATCAAGTGTGTGAAGCTGCAAAATCATCCCCCCAGGAGCTCTTATCACTCTCTAAGGAGCACAGATTCCTATATTATTACAGCTAGTCACCGCTTTCCCTGCCACAGACCCATTTTGATGTTTGCAGATATCTCCTTTATCATGAAGGAAAGCACTGATGGTTATGGCAGGGGCTGCTGGAGAGGGCTGGGGTTGCTCCCTACCTGATGGGAATGCTGTTGCGTGTCCACGTTATCTCTGGCTCAGGGTATGACTCCACTACACAGACAAACTTGGCAACGTCCTCTACCAGTGCATCCACAGTTTCCAGGGGAGTGCTGATCAAGGGAGCTGTGTGAAGGAAGAGAAAATCAGAAAATATCCCAGTGCCTCGTGGAGGGAGGCACGAAGCCTGCCAGACCCCTTTGGCAGAGGCAGTTGTGTCTCTGCAAGGTCACTCCATGGCTTTTTCCCCAGCTCAGAGGAGCTTTGCACACCCTCCACGCATTCACTCTAACACAGGTTCCTCCATTTTGTAGCTGCAGCCTGCTGTTGTTTGCTGCAGGTTTTGCATTTTCCCTTGTGCTCGCTCTAGGGTGAAAAACAGAGCAACCCAAGCATGGGACAGCTCCAACAAGCCCAGTGCGTCGCTTGTTTCTAACCCTCCTCTCACCCCAGGGTGCACAGCACTGGGTGGCATACTGCAAAGACACAGGTGAGGCTGTCCCCCTGCTACAGGGGTGGCATTGCATGGGCTGCAAGTGCAACAAACAGCATACAAATTGAAACCAAGCCGACCTGCCCCTGCAGTGGGCACAGTGCCTCCTTATTGATGCATAATGCATGAGATTTGGGCTTCTTCGTCACTAATACAGGACTATTTATCTTTTTTTTTAAAAAAAAAAAAAAAGTATTATGTGGCACTATTTTTTTCAAAACCAGGCTTGTAAAGGCCCTTCAGTTCTTGCAGATTTGTGGCATGACTAGCACACATTCTTTTTCTCACCTTTTCTAGTCAAGTAGCACCGGGGTTAGAAGTCTAATAGCTGTGTCTGATGCTTATTATCACAGACCTGTCATCATACATTATTTGAGTGTATCATCTTTAGAAACATTTTCCATCACCCCGATAAAAGACTTGAAGCATGGCTAGAGGGATCAAAGGATATGCGTAGTGAATCTCTTTCCCTGAGCATGGTATGCATTGCAGCCATTGCCTCCAAAGATGCTTGAATTACTTTTAATCTATAACTGCAAGGGACACACATCCAGTATTAGTTGGACTGGATTTCATTGACAGCTGTGCTGAGAGGAACTAGTTTCATACCATGTTCCTGAAACACCACCTTGAAAATGTACAGCGGATGCAGGAATCTTCCTGTTCCTCTCTGACTGTAGCAGTATCTGGCACACTGCATGTCTTTTCACAGAAAAATCCTGCCCGCACTGTATCTGCTGGCCTTCCTAATAAGATTTAAATTCAGGCAAAAAATAAACTACATCAAATTTACCCCACTAAAAAAAAAAAAAAAAAATACAAGACACTCCAATTTAAGTGCATGAGAATAATAGAAAGCCCTTACCTTAATGCTTTCTCAGTTTACACAGGAGTGAAAATTATAATGTCATTGGAGTTCAGCTGGAATGAAGCTAGAGGAAGAAAGGATCGGCTTCCACTATCAGGTTTATGTAAAAGTCCTAACACTTTTCAAATGTCATTAGAACAAATCTGCCTTAATAATATTTCTAGATTATATGACTTCAAATTGTATAATTGGTAATGACTATACTTCTATAAAAAGGTCTTAAAACTACAGCTGAGGTAGCACTAAAGATTATGTTAACTAAACTTTAGTTAAAATACGTCTGTTGCAGATTCTTTGTTTAAGATCACTGCTTCAAATTTATAAGCCTTCAATTTATTGGGTCATTTTGAGTCACACTAGATAGAAGTAATCTGTAGTGTACCCCAGATAAATCTCAGGCCAGTGAAACCAAACGGAAGATATTCATAAAGCCTAAACTTCCCTGCTACTGAAGGTTGTTTTAGGAGAATAACCTCCACCAAAGACTATCCTGTCTACTTCAAAGGGGATGTTGCTATTTCGTGACAGAGTTTATTGGGTTTTGATGGCATTAAGCCTGGCTGAAATGGAGTTTTACAATCTAATTTTGTACAGCATGTTTTTATTGCTGTTGTCTACATGCCTTGATCTCTGGAAGGATGCTTTTTTAACCCTGAGAAATGGAAATTTTTGCAGTAACTAAAATTCAAAGCAACTAGTTTTATAACTGTGTTGTCATGATAAGCATGGCTATTGTCACAAAGAATAAAGTTAGATTTGTACCAAGAGCCAATATGCATAACAACAGTATTTTATTCTTTGGTCAAATAAGGGCTGTCTGTCAGTTTTATAGATTAAATAAATTCTCTAGCAACAGTTGAGTACTTTTATGATATCTCTTTATTTCAACAGATGACAGAATTATCCTTAGCAATATTGCCTACATGGTGTCTAATCTAGCATCTTCTGAAAGGCAGCACACAGATCTTAGGCCAGAATCAAGCCCCATACTCATAGAAAATACCGTCCAAACCAACAGCACTTTACCTATGACAAAAGCAGAAAGGAAACTTGTTTTTTACAGCTGCCTCCCCAGATTCTACAACCTCGAAGAGCAACTGTGACAACAACAGTGATGTGTCACTTTCTCGCATGCTCTTTTTTACCTTTCTGATATTAAAGCGGAGTGCTGGGCCAGCGGGGAGGTGCAAGCAGTGCTCCTGCAGCTGGGGTGATGGGGCAGAGGGCACAAGGCCGGAGGATGGGCGGTGTGCCTGCAGGGCACAGCGAGCGGTGGAGTGTGCCGCCATTTTGTCACGAGGCGGCAAGAGAGACCCAAAATGGCCGCAACGGTGCCTGCTTCTAAAATCTGTCCAAAAAGCTCAGGTGTTGGTGTTAGCCTGTGTTTCTTCAGGAAAGCAATCAGAATTTATGATACCTTCATTACCAGATTTTAACACAGGAAAATGTAACCCAAACAACATAGGACGTATTTATCATAGACCCCAGATCTTTCTGCGTGCGTCCACTGAGGCTATCTGATATTTTTTAGGTAGCTCTATGGCTTTAAGTAACACTGAAAATCAATTAACTTATATATCTGTAAAGCCACCCAGGTGCCGTTTTTCTGCGTGTCATCTGCAGTTTCCCGAGCTAACAAGATGACCCAAGGCTGGTCATGGGGCCCATGAGAAAGCCAAATGCCCTTCTCGCCTCAGCCCACCAGGAGCTCCCAAATTGCTTGGCTTTGGTTTTGAATTCACACTTTTGAAACAAGACAAGCCAGGCAAACAAAACGAAGTGGAAAATGGGAGCCACTGTCCCCTGAAGCATTGCAGATGCCTGAAGATACTGCAGTTCCTCTGTCAAAAACTGCCCAATTGTATTTCCAACTAATGATGTAAAACCTCTATAGGGTACAGCTGGGCTGGTCACATTTCAGCCCCTCTCAGGGAACAAGGCAATTCAGCCACCTGTAATGTTTTAGGAAAGGATGCATATTTCTTCCTTGAACTGTGCCACCAGAAAAAAAACCAATCCCCTTCATCTTTGTTTTTCTCGTCTCTCCACTCCCATCTTACCACAGCTTTCAAAAAGACAAGAGTTCACCAACTTACTTTAGTGCCTTATGAAAAAAATAACATTTTTATTTCAAAAGCTTTTTTATAAAGAAGAGACCTTTTTTTTTTCCATTTTGAGGCCAACCTGACTATTGTAAGAGCACAGGTCTGCAAGAGTAGCCATGCTGGCCCAATGGGTCAATACCGGCATCCTCCTTAAGGTTTTTTCTATTTTCCTGAAGCTGCAAAGTTTCTGGTACGCTTTGAATGGCTCTTGACAATCACCATGCAGCAATGCCTTTTGTTCACAGGGTTACCAGACAATACGTCCAGAAGACCACTGTTGCACTTTGTACATCAAAGACTCTTCTAAACAGATTTTTTTCAGTTCTTGTGTTGGATAAAAGTTTGAGTGCATGTGTCCATGTGCATGTGTGCATACAGACAGGAAGAAGGTATAAAAACTTTTATGTTATATACAATACAAACCATGCTCATTTGTATTTATATACATACACTCTGTAAAGACATTATAGTTATTTACACTTTCTTTGAGTTTTATATATTTACAAGCATACAGAGGCATGCAGAACACCAAGAATCTTGGGGTCTACAGCAATGGGTGCTACAAGTCATTAAAACCTGTAAGCTTCCTTTGACATGAGAAATGTCTATCCCACCCAGGCTGAACCCAAACGTCTCCCCTTCCCATTACAATGGGACTACGTGCTCTTCCTAGACAAAGAACCTTCAATCCCATACACAAATATGAGATTATCTTCACTGCTATCCTTCTAAAAAAAGTCAAGTGACCACCAAAAGCAGCACATTTTTGTCCTTTTCGGGAACACTACCTCACCACCCACCCCACTGTTACCAGAGATACCTTCCCCTTTGCAAAACCTCCTTCAGCAAGAGGCAGAAGCAGGGCAGGGCAAAAGCCCCTCCAAGCAAACCTTTTGGGAGCATCTCGGCCAAGCTGAGGGCTGCCAGGGTGAGAACGCGCACCAGGGGCACCTTCAGCAGGTCATTCATGTTTGATCCAGAAGGCATCTGACTCCTTCAGGCAAGGCGTGTGGAGCTCCCAGCCGGCTGCATTTCGGATGGCGGTGCACAAGCAGAGGTCCTCCGCTAATGACGGAGCAGGGTCTGCGGGATCTAAGTATAATCAGGAATTCTCCCACCCGGCGGCAGTGATGGACGTGGCCAGCTGGTGCGTATCCACTTCAGTCAGTGTGAAAGCGTGGGGCTCGTGAAACAAGAGAAAGCAAATCCCTTCTGAATTCCTTCTAAGCAAACAGAGAAGAGTACAATGGGGAAATGCATTTCCAGGGCAGTACCCTACACCAGCACTGCAAGTCACCAGGCCTTTATTTCAGCACCACGTAAGAGCAGTAGTGGAAAAAATGCTTGCCACTGGATTTTCCTTCAGCCTAGTCCCCCTCTTTTTCATTTTTTCTCTTCTCTCTCTCACACACGCTCCCTCTTTCTTATTATAACCTTTCATGATTGGCTGCAATATGCCACCTGTTGCCCTGCTGATAGCATTTCTTTTCTCAACAGATGTATTTGCTGGAGCAGGAAAGGTTGGCACTAGGGGCTTGAAAGTCCCCTTTGCCAAGAAGGTTGATGGTGTTTGAGAACCACTGCAGCACATTGAAAAAGCAGAGTCTGGTCCTGGAAATAGACCCCCCAAAAAAGTGAGTATCTACTGCAGGAGCAACATTTAGACCATGGGAGAAAAGAAGCATTTCATTTCAACATCAGCAGCAGCCCAGGGGATGGGTAGAAACATTGCTATAGGGAAATATGACTGTTGTAGACTGACATTATTAATCCCTCAGAAATCTCTTCTTATCTACCAGATCTCTGTCTAAAGTGAAAGACTGAAAATCGGAGCTCATTTTCTAGGAAACTTCAGAGGAGCATTAGACCTGAGGCTATCTCCAGACTAACTCCATCTTTCCCCATCCCAGTACAGTGGTCTACATGACATCATCTTTGTCAAAAATGTCAAGTCATATGTACTCCCTGTATTTCCAGCATAAATATTTTTATGAAGCGTGTTTGCAATCAGTCTTACCACTGTGGAAAGGCTGATGGGGGGGGCAACATCTGAATGAGCAGAAGAGAAAAAGATGAATAATCAGTTTGGGGAGTATCTAATTGATGATGATGCCCTGGGAACATGACTCCAGATACTTTTTCATCATGTTATCAGCAGAGCGGATGTGAACTTTGCACTAAAAGACATGGTCTGAGGAAAGGGAATGCACAGTCATAACATATCACAGTAAAAGGTACTTTGAGATCTCTGGAATTTCCTTTATTTGCTAAACCTCTCAGTTTCAAATACTTCTTAACAGTCATTCTGCAATAAACATACATAGTTCGGCAGGGCTTCCTCTGGAGAGGAAAAGGAGTAAAGCTGGCTGGAGCTCTGTGTGTGTGAATCCCGATGGTTTGGCATGGCATGATAATGGCAATGCTACTTTGGGAAGATCTTTGCAAAGATCGCTCCTAATCAGCCATTGCATGTCCCCAAAGTAGCATTGCCATTATCATGCCATGCCAAACCTAGACAAGTGTTCCTCCAAAGATGAATAAAGGCAGAAGCACCAGCTGAACATGTGTTAAAGATCTTCCAGGGATTCTGGAGCTAGCAACAACAACAAAGCAAAACAACAAGACAACGATGAAACAACAATAATCCTACCAGGGAACAGAGAAATCCTGACTTATGGCTGAACTTACAAATATTTATTTTGTTTCGTTTAAGTCCAATCACATCCAATTAATCTGCTCCATAGAAATGCAACTTGGTCTTTTAGGGTAAAATTGTCTCCATGGAGGGATTTGACCGAAGACCTCTGCATCACTGGATTCCTGTCTGGGCTGTGTTACAAGGACTTTGAAACTGCACCATCCCATACAAGTCCAAAAATTAGTCTTTCCCCTTTATTTGCCAATTACAGCATTTATAAACGACACTGACAGCGACGGCTGCTGAATTTTAATAATGCCTTTGCATCTTGAGGATTACCAAACTATTCCTAACCTCCCATTTCCTCTGCCTTGTGAACTTTTATTAATGACCACAGTGAGCTCCACTGCTCCAAACGGAATGTAAATTTACATTATAAATGGGAGTAGACAGGATATACGTGAAGAAGGTGGAGTTGTTTTGTTGTCCAGCTACACAGGCCATACAGCTAACAAATAATATACAGGGGAAGGTGGTGATCGTCTATATCTATCATGGAAAGATATTTCTGTATAGAGTGAAATCTGTGGAAATGAGATACCAGTGACACCAAAATTTCTTTGATTTGGAGCATTTTCCAGGCTTACCTTAAAAAGTAAAATGCTCTTTACATTTTTAGCCCCTGTAGTTATGGGTTTATTGGTTGCTGAGGGTTTTTTCCTAACGAAGCTGAGACACATACAGTTTACAGCTAATTGTTACTTACATCTGTTGTTATTTGTAGTTATGCCCCAAGGCCTCTGTTGAGATGAGGTCCCAGCAGCCTACATAACAAATAATGAGAACCAGTCCTTGACTTTCAGGCATTGCAGGTGAAGCTTTTTTCCCACAAAGATTTGTGTACCAGTTTAGTTCTTTGCACTGCAAACAACTCCACAGAAGATGGTACATGAAGTTCAGTGCACAAAGACAAGGTGTGCTGGAGCATTCAACCATATAGATACCATTTTTTCACTTTTCAAATCCATGGTGAGGGGAAATTTGCCCTTCATTGTTTGCAGGACAGGACTGTCCCGGACCTTTTCTCTCTACATCTCTTCCCTCCCTCCTTCTTCCAAGTGCTCTGCTGGTGGCTGACAGTTTTACACACTAGTGCAACATGATTTGATCACTAGATACTTTGAAAACTGCCTTTTGCCCCATATCACCATCTGGGATGTTTTCTTGCTAGGCAGTCCCAGATGTTCACCCAAGTAGACAGGCTAGGGCAGGTATTTCCAGCAGAATGTGTCCAGCCAGGTAACAAACTCCTTCTGCAGAGGGACCTGATGGAGTTGCGTCGGCAATGACCCTAGTCACCCAGCATCTGGTGATTCACACAGAAATACCCAGCACTAACCCAGCCTGACCAGTGCCCATTTTAATGCAATGTCATAACTGTTGGTGCTGGAAACCTACCTGAGTAAATACAAGCCACTTGTCATCAGCTTTGGTGCTGTCGGTCCTGCAGTCACCCTTTTGAATGCAACACAGATGTAGTCTCTGAAGAATGAGACCAGATCTGAGGCCTTACACAACAGGCCAGGCTGTTCCTACTTATTTTTCAGCAGCAACAAGGATCCCTAAACGTGACTAGGTCACTAGTATGCAGCCCTATTCATCTATGTAACTATGAAGCCAGAAAAAGAGCCAAGGTGACAGATGAGTACAGACATAAAAGACAAGCAGTCCTTAAACCCCAAGCTCCCATGTCACAGCTTCAAGCCTCTTCCAGTCGGCACAGAGACCAGAAATACATATGCTGTATGGTCTTTCCCTGAGACATGTGCATGCACATGTCCCTGCGTGCCCTAACCCTGTGCCTGGTGCACCCTTGCTGCTTCTCTCCTCAAAGCTGCTGGCCTCTCACATACAGGTGTCCTCACAAAACATTCGGCAGTGAACCCCATCTGACTGCCTGGGCCTGCACGTGTGCCCTCCTTCGCAGAAATGAACCGAGGTCACATTGCCACAGGGTTATGGGCACACCTATCCTCTCAGTCCACCCTGCCCACATTGCCAACAGTACCTAAATGCAGCACACACTCTTGGGTGTATGGCATGGAAATGACATATGCATGCCGGCATTTGGGGAGGAGCTAAACATCATTTTAGCTCTTTTATCACACACTGAAACTCGCTTCTTTACAGTGATCCTGAGTGGAAGCAGCCATTACAGCCACCAGCTCTAAGGGATTAAACACAACCCGCAACACAGACATGGCCAGTAAGGTATTGTTGCTTGTGTCAGTAATAGCAAATGATGTATTCAGTGTAACATGTGAGGGAATAAGCTACACTGATGCTGTTCTTTACCCTGCACTCATGTTTTTTTTGTTTGGGGTTTGGGGTTTTTAAATTGTCAAAATGAAGGAAAGATTTTTCTCTAAAGTCATTTAAGAAACACAGACCCATCCCAAAGCCCCACTTACTGTGTTTAAGTTGCAGGGTTTCAGGTGCATTTACCTTGGCCTCTGTCCTTAGCCATCTGGACCAATCTCTGATGTCCTACTAATATTTCAACACTTACTGGGCTCTGATGCCTAAATCTAAACCAGTCCCCTTTTCTCCTCTTGAGATTTCGTGGGTATCGGGAAACCTAAGATTTGCATTAATTTCTTGCTATCATCTTATTATAAACTTTCCTGTAATTTTTCAGCTCACAGGATCTGCTAATACTGACTAAGGCCAATCTCATCTGCTGTCTTAAGTTTTGTGGTGGGACAAAATTATATAGTGTTATGAGATATGATTACTGTAGCAACATAGCATAAATGCTGTAATTAAAGAGGAAGATCCCTTGTCATGCAACTAGCTCACTGTGCACTGATGTATATAGTACAGTGATATGAATTCAGGTTTTTCATAAGATATGAAATTAATTTCTCTGCTGGGAGACCTGCTCCATATTACACTTTGCTGCCTATAGTAGCCAGCTCCACACCATAACATGGGGAAAGCTCCCACGCCCCATAACCTTCTCTTCTCTGTGAGGATAATGCTGTTCCTTTGCTGAGCTGGGGAAATCCAGATGCCCATGTTTCTCCAGACAGGGATGCATCAGGCAAACACACCCCTTGTTCCCTGCCTCTGAGCTCAGTCCTTCATCTTCTGGCTGCCATCAGAATAGTGCAGTCTGTGGGGCCAGGGTGGCCGCCAATGCACGAAACCTTCTCTCCATCACATGGTACCACATCCCAACAAGTGAAAAACGAGACCTCCATTTTGAAATGGTCATAGCAGAACCATGAAAGAAATCCCTGGAGAAGCAGGGGAAGGGGAGACTTGGTGT